AACTTCGGATAACTCGAAACGATTTGCCCGGTCCCTAAAAGTTCGAGTTAACGAGTTTTCACTGTATATAAAATGATGAACTATAATTTTCAGTCTACTACTCTGAAGATATATTGGGACAAAGAGGGTTAAGGGTTGGAAAGGAAATTTTCCGGCAGGGAGGAGACTTCCTTGTTAACCTTGGAGCCATACCCTAGGTTGGGCAAGTCACTCGAGCACCTAACAGTCACAGCTAAGCGCCAGCACAGCACATCTACTCTCCTCCATGGCTCGAGAACGACTCCCTTTTGATACCTTCCCTGTCTGCTGCAGATCGGAGAGCCATTCAGTTCTCATAACTTTGTTGGTTTCGATCAATCGAACAGAGTGATCCCCTGTTGCTGACTAGATCACCGATGGAAATCCATGTTGAACGATCTTGACATTGACCCCAATCATTATATGTTACATTCTGGCTCTTGGTCCCATTCATTACAGACAATCAAGCTGCATTGTGTGTATAAGTCCATGAATTTAGATGAGGACGGTTTCAAGTTCAGGCTTTATCCTGCGCATATCCGAAGAACAATTCGATCTGATAGGACGAGACTCCTATTGAATTGGGCGGGTCCCAATTTCTGAATCCTTCAAGTCATGATCCAACCTTTCCAAGCGGAATCCCTGCTACATCTCCCATGAGGCAGGTATTAATCGAATGGCAGCATTAACTTTGGCGTTGATCGAGTGACATTTTCAAAAAGCCACTTTCCTAGTTGGTCAACTGCCCTTCCTCTGCAGTGATTCGTCGGAGTCTAAGACACTCCAATCGAACAAGAAAAGTACTTAACGACCACTTCGATTAGTAAAAGCAAAGTGAACCCATAAAGAAAGAGAAACGGAAAGTTTAAAAGGTGATGAGAAAGACAAGAAGACTTTGACCAACCTCATCGACATCCGTGTTCTTCTGAGCAGCCTTGAGCGCCTTAGAAGCTTGGCCCAGCGTGGCGAGGACTACTCGACTCGTGGTCGTGCCTTCCAAAGCCTCCCTCTGCCTCTCGATCGCCGACAGTGTGCCATAAACCTGCTGAACTTGTAGCTCATAACGCTTCTTACGTTTCAGAGCCTGCGCAGGGAAAAGTTTCAGTGAATGAGATCGGATCAGACTGGGAATGCAAAGGAAACTAGAACTTGGGAGTGCTCACAGCGAGGGCAGCCCTTTTGTTTTTGGTGCCATACTTTTTGGCATTTTCGAGCTCTCCCGTGATCTTCTCTTCAAGGAAGTCCTTCCTTCTAGTTAACATATCCTCCATCTCATAAAGCTTCTCAATGGGACTTTGCGTAGTTTGTGGTCCATCATTTTTTCTTCCTCGAAACATCTTCCCGAAAACACTCATTTTAACTGGTTACAGGACACTTCACCTGGCACCACTAAATGAAACGTGTTCGCACAAAAGGGTTCGTCGAGATCAACTGGGAAATGCAGTCAAATGACCTTTCTCGAACGCACAATTCAACCTGCCAACAAAACAAGAAATTGGGGGACCATTTGGCCAATGAAAGAGATGGTTCACATGTTAAAAACTAGCTTGAGCCTAGACCTATAGGACAGTGCTTCCCAAGTGGATTCACCCCGTCGACAAATTACTATCTCACCGCATAAACTGTGAGCCCTATTTATTTTTAATGCAGTCTAATGCACTTACATTCAGAAAGGCTTACACAGGTATTAAAGTCAGCATCAGAAGAGCATATATGAAAAAAACATAGGTCTTAGCCAAAATAGGCCTAGATGGCAACTGAGAGGTGCAAGAACGTCTCTCGAGAATTTGGGGAAGAGCAAAGAGCTGGAGGATGGTGCTGCCCCACAAGCGAAATCATCACCGCCCTTCTTGGAAGGCTTCTCCAATGACCGCCCGGCCTCTATTTTCCAGCACCTGTAGGTTTAAGACAATCTGTATACTTAAGATGTCCGATCGGATCCCGCTCTGGATCAACGGAAGCAGTTGAAATGAAGAAAGTGTCCATTGTATTCACGCGTGGAAGTCGAGTCGTGGAAGTTAGAATTGCGGACTGCAAATCATCTATTTCGGAATCGCGCCGTGACCGGGCGTGACCCGATTAGAAAAGTGTCACCTAATCAACTAACGTAACCAGTGTGTCATGATTTTTCACACATGGCATCTAGAATTCTTATCTTCAGTCGCACCCTGCGGCTTTCGATGTCGAGCGTGAATAAAATGGAGAAAAAGTCAGGACAGTGCAGCGGATGTCACGCACCAGCAGTCACGCGCAGTCTCCAATCAATGTGACGGCTCGCATGCGCAGTGTCGGGGGATGCAAATTTTTCCTGGAAAAGACGCAGGCTCACCGAAGCGGACAATCCGAAATTCGGAAGGAAAATTTTACCACAGTCGACACCCGATACAAGGAACTAGAAGGGACAGGCTGCAAAAATTAGTTATAAGGAAAATTCGTTATATAGGGCAGTGTTTCCCAAACGGTGTGCCGCGGTCCACTGGTGTGCCGCCATGAAGGCTTAGGTGTGCCGTGAGATTTGAGAGTTGACAACAAAAAAAAACTAAAAGCAAGAGGGAACGCCATCTCTAAGCAGAAAACGAGCTGAGAATTGCACTATCACGCCTCGTATCAAACTGTTGAGTTCCACGAAGCAAGCACAAGTTTCCCATTGAAAGTAAGTAAATGACTGGGTGTGCCGTGGAAAGTTCAAGCGTCCTTATGTGTGCCGCAAATAAAAAAGAAGATTGGGAACCACTGATATAGAGGTTCGTTATATCGAGCGTCGACTGTATTTATTTTCAGATACCAATATCATACGTTTAAAAATTCATGAGACTCGATAGAGAGTTGAGCACGAAAAACAAATAAAGTGGCATATTTTTCATTGAGCCGTGGTCTAGTGCAACGTATGCATAACGTATAACGTATGTATGATGCTCAAATGGCAGATGACCGCTTGGAAAGCAGCCAGCATGGATTGGAGGAGATTCCGTTTCTAAAACAGTCCTTTCGGCGATGAAACCGTTCGACCCGGGGAGGCCGTTGGCCGAAAGGCGGTTCGAGAAGTCGGAGTGTGAAAGTATGAAAGTCTGCGAAAGAATTACCCTCGGCTGAAGTTGATATCATTTGGCGTTTCGCGCTTTCCTTTTCAAATAAGCACTCTCGATGGGGGCACAAAACGAACTGTTACTCTACCTAAAGTGGATTCTAGCCACACCGCTTAGCTTAGGTGCAAGAGGTTAGGTGCAATAGACCACGAACACAGGAATCTTCAAACTTCTCACTCCTATTTTGGGCATGTCGATTGGAGAGGTCGTTAGGAGATGGGAAAATCTTTTCAAACTCCTCTAACTCTAGGTTCAATTAAATAACTAGAAAAACTGCTGGAAAATTTTTCGCCGGTACCCACGGGGGTGCCTCTTAGAAATGGCACAGATGTCATTAGTCTATAATGGCTATTCTATCAATAAGTGAGGCAGCTTTCGGAGTAGGTTGCAACTTCGTCGTTCACGCCGCAAACGTTCGGTCGATGGTGAGCTCACTTTCGTACCGGTTCCGTTGGTTAGCCAGAAGCGTTTGTGGCTGCCGGTTAGTCGGAGCGATGAATGTGGGAAACACGCGGCAAGGCAAGATAGGATCCGAATGGAATGAGTAACACAGAAGAACTTACGGGGAATTGTGTATTCGCTCGAATCGCAGTTCCAGTGAGATAAGGAAATAAAAACGTTAACGTTTCCAGCGGACTCTTCCACGAGGGGGAAAACGGTACGACTACTGGGGAGAGAAGGGAAGAGAGGACGTCAATCGGCCTCTCTCCCCTTCAAAATCGAAAAAAAAAAGAAACGTTGCTATTGTCCCTCTGGCCTGAATCTGCTCGGAAGCCAGGAAAGGAAGTCGGCTGGCAAGGAAGAAAGTCTGCTGCCGACATGACCGAGGTCCCCTCCTTGCCCTCGTTGGCTCTGAGGCGAAGCGATCCGACGACCGTTATCGGATGACCGTTGTGATACGAGCAGGCATGCTACGGGCAACGTTATGGGCTTCCTACCTTTTCTTCGTATTCCAACCGGCGGGTTTCACTGAATAAATAACACCACAAAATAAATATGTCTGGGATTCTTTCCTTCCTTCCTCTTCCTCCTTCCTTCTTCCTTCTCCTTTGTCATTCACCGTTTATCTTCCCTTCCTCTTCGTGCATCTCCGCACCGGAGTGCCTATATATGAGAGCGAATTGTCGTCGATGCAAAAGCCTTACCGAGAAGTGAAATTTCCCTGCTTGATTTTGAAAACGGGAAGCCGTTGCCAGAGGATCGCATTCAATGGAGTGCCAAAGGTGTCGCATTTGGACGACTCCGATCTCTGCGTGTCGGACCTGAGTTCTAATTCCAATTATTTCAATCGAATTACTTATTTATTAATGGGTAATGGGCAGCGAATATTTGAGATATGAAGCAAGCATTAGTGGACTAAATTGCCATTTTTGAGATCTTACTATTACTGTCACGCCAAATATTGCTCACTCATGAAAAATTATATTTCCTTTCCAGTCTCAGTAAATGCTGGGGTCGCTTTGTTCAAAGCAACCATCAGTTTTCATGAATATTTCACATTTTGAAATTTGCTGATTGCATTCCTTACCAGCTTAACGTATGATCATTATAAGGATGATATCTTTTGAGACTGCTCTTGCGGTTACCATTGAGCAAAACCTGACTTATATGATATCGCTTAATAGCTCTCGAAAAGGGCTCTTCGGTGATGCATCATTCGTTCAAATAGGTTGTAGTTCAGGCAAGTTGGAGCAGAAAGAAAAGATGTGACTTGATATTTGTCATTTTTTGCGAGATGGAATTTCGAATGAAAAAGTAAGATTTTTTTTTCCTTTTTTGTGGAAAAGGGAATAATATGCCCGCATGCTGCAAGGATGAATGGATAAAATTGGGACAAAGACCAAGTATTAGGGGCTCTCCATGTGTGACTGGCCTGTTATTCATTATTTTCGGTTGATGATTCTTGTAATTAAAAAATTCAGTTTTTGAATATATGAATACATATTTGAAACTTTCTGCGACCCCCGTCTTTAGCTAGGCTTGTTCAGTAGAAAAAGCGGTGAAAAAATCTAGTTATTCATTTTCTTAATTCAGCCATGAAAGGGTTAAACTGCGAAAGAGAGTTCGAAGAGAAAATGGAATAGGATGTGATAAGATACATTAGGCAGGCTATTAGTGCGGCAAAGACTGCTTTCCAGTCAACAAAGACTGAAAAACGCCGAAATGTATCGACTTTTTCTTTTTCTTTGCCCGAACCTGGCAACGTTTCAACCCCTTAGAGCGAAACAGCATCATCTTGAACCTTTTGTATTTTCCCTCTCTTTGCCCTCTTCTCTGGGGTGAGTCCTCGCCCCATTTTTAAGAATCCGATCGTACCCCTAAACCTCACATTTTAACTCTTCTTTCTTTCCTCCCAACATCTCGGCTGTAATTCGTCACAGGCGTTTTGTTCTTGCGAGAATGGAAACCAAAGATGCAGAGGAAATCGGGAAAAAAAAAATGTGGCCCAGAAGAACGGCGAGAAGTCGTTGTCGACTCCTCTCACAATCCCATTTCGAAACCCCTTGTATTTTACCGCCTTAATATCGTATCGCGCACGATCAGACACGCGAATGGAATCGTTTTTAACGCGAGAATCGGCGTTTCACCTACGTATGGATACAGAGACTTAAAAAAAAAAAAGTGAAAGGATATTTAAATTCTATAACTATTTACGTGCGTGCGAATTTTCTCCCGGAAAATTTCAGGAGCCAATCCAGTGGATGTCCTGTAGGCATTGCATTCGGATATTTGCTGAATATTTCACGTAGGCATTCACTGGGCGTAGCGGTCCGATCATTCTTGGCTACCTGGGCCAGAGCTAAGAAATAGAACTGGAGATGGCGCACTATACAATGGTTTTGGGGCAATTGGAAGCCATCTTAGTTGGGTCCGTGGTGGCTCTTCTTCATTCAATGGGACTTTCATAATTTCCCATCCCAGTTTTCTTGCTGTCGTGATCATGATAGCAGGCAATCATGGTACTGGAGGCCTAATAATTCTGGGGGAGTATCATAGGGCTGATAACGTCATGTCGGAACTCTTCTTTCATGTGGGCGAGTCTCCTATTTCTCGAGTGGGCCTCCAAGTTCCAGGCCTGCCTTTGCTGAGATTGCTGGGCCTACTAAGGCGATAACGTTACACCGCCCATGCATCATCACAGTTGACATATTTTACAGTAAGTCTAAGGCATAAAGTCAAACGAACTTCGAGTGAACGTTCAAAGGTAAACATAGGCTAAAGCAAATGAAGGGCGACCACGAGGTGCATGGTAGAGGTGTTGGCGGGTATTGGGAGGGCATGCTTCCGAGTTCAGAAGGGCTGCTCCAATGTTCCCGCGGTACCTGCTCCCTTCCTCGGCCAATGCGCACCGCAGGCCCGCTTTAGCCTAGACCCAACCAATATGGCTTCAAAATGCACCCGTTTTCCCC